CAGTGTAGTACTTTGAACATCCTGAAATCCTAAAAATATTCTTAATGATGCTTCTGCTCTGTATGAACTTAATAATATTGAAGTTAACCTGACCAAATCTGATTTACTCTATATCTCTCCAAAAAATTTCAAAACACCAAATCATATATTCTCATATAACAATCAAACAATTACTCCTAGAAAACCTGAAAATATAATTAGATATTTAGACATCTTCTATGATGGCAGAGGATTAACTAAACCAACTCTAGATATATTATATAACAAAATAGAAAACTTTCTACTTTTAATTAGATATAAAAAACTATTACCCTCCCAAATATCTTCTTTCTTTAATCTTATACTTCAACTCTCTCTAGAATACCTTCTGCAAATTATATCTATTCAAAAAAACATACAAACTAAACTCTCTCGACTATTATCTATACAAACAAAAAAGATGCTTTCTCTAGCCAAAAACACTAATAATATTGCATTTACCAATCTACTTACCTTTAATCTATCTACATTTACTAATATAATTCAAAAAGTTAGTATATTCAATATTGAATATATCTTTAATACCTTTCCACTCCTCCATAATATTAGAATTCTTCAAATTAAATCCTGGCTATCAAAAACCTGGTTTCCAAAACTTACTAAAGAAATACTTCTTACACATCATCAGAAAACACAAAATTACACTCTTCTTTTTCATCTTTCATAACTAGCAAGAAACAATATAACAATCTCCTTGCCCCCTCAAATCTCAAATTTTTTCTCTTTTATCTCTGATCACTCTCCTTTAATCTATAATATACTTCCCCTAACTTCTAATAATCTTACAATCAATGGTCTTAAAAATAACAAAATTTTATTTATAGAACAAATTACAACAGCAAACAACAACCTTTTTCTTCTTTGAAACAATATCTATCTTTGTACAAACAAAGCAACTAGAGGCCAACAATCTTTATGATTTACTTGACTCTTACAAATAATACAAACCAACTCTTTTCATATCATATAGCCACATATTTAATTATTCTCAATAAATAGCTTTATTAATACAACTAATCTAATACCTTCTTTAACTATATTCTCCTTTTACTTATTGCCTAATAACCAAGATTTTTTCTTCTTATACTATGACAAACATCAACAAATTCTAATATATGAAATTAATCAATTTGAAAAACTACCTGAAGAACAAACATGATTGGTAGAATCTGTTAATTCGTTACCAGACTCCAAACTTATAAACCTTCTATATAAGCAAATTAAATTTAATAAATCCTTATTACAAATCAATTTTAAAGAAATTCTTGCTATTATTGATATTTTAAACAACCTCAACTTATCCTCAGCTTCTTCTCTCTGCCAACCACAAATTAATATCTCTTCCTGAGAAATACAATTAATATATCATATTATCAAATCACTCTCTTATCAACATCAACTTATTCAAATATACAACTATATATTAAATTTAAATCTAACCTATTTTCAATTTGCTACAGATGCTTCTATTCAAAATCTTCAATCTCCAAATATTAAATCTAACATTGGCTGGATTTGCGAAAATGATCCATCTATCAACTTCAATACTGCAATCAGTCCCTCACCTAACTCTTCTCATTCAGAGATGATAGTAATCATCCATCTCTTACTTGTTATTCCAATTAACTCTACTGTTACTATATACACTAATAGCTTGATAGCAATCAAAAACCTACTTAATCCTCCTTCCTTCAAACTTACTCAACTCAAAAACTGTGATATAATTTCTATTATTAACTCAATTAAATCCACTAAAAATATCTCTATTAACTTTATTAAAGTTAATTCATAATCCGCATAAGAACCAGTAAAATTAATTAGTAAATTATGGAGATATTTACTATTAGATTTTACCTTTTTTGGAATCTGAAATTTCCCAAAGAAAACCTTTTTCTTTACTAAGTAAACATCTTTTCAAGCTCTAAGTAAAGTTGTAGAGAAGTGTCTTGCGATCAAAATAATGATTAAAACATTAAAATCGGCCTAGTGGATCGCGAGATATAAGTACTTTAGTCTTTGTGATTATATATTTTTCTTTTTTGTAAATAAAGAAGAAAACATATAGTCACGAAGACTAAAGTACTTATATCTCACGATCCACTAGGCTGATTTTAATATTTTAACTGCTATTTTGATCGCAAGACACTTCTCTACAACTTTACTTAGAGCTTAAAAAGATGTTTACTTATAAAGAAAAAAGTTTTTCTTTAAGAAACTCCAGATTCCAAAAAAGCCAAAATTTATATAGTAAACATATTATCACTTTTTACTATGTTTTGTCACTGGTTCTTACATTGTTTCTGTAGAACTTTATATAACCTTTTATAATAAATAAAATAACTGTCACTTTTCATTTTCTAACTGCTGCTGAATTTGTTATTTTTTCTCTTATAGTTTTCATTTGCCTTAAAGTTAAATAATATTTTTACATTTAGATTTTCTTTAACTTGCTTGTTAAAGTAATGTGAATACAGTATTTACTTTCTGAAAGTGTGTAATGTTTTGATATTAATAAAATTGACCATAGAATATATAATATTTAAATATTATTTAAAAATTAATACAAAAATAAAGCAAATAGTTAAATTATCCTTGTTTAAGTTTTTAAAAAACTTATTAAAAAAAATATATTTGTTTGGTTTTTTATATTTTTAGATATAAAATAATATCATATACATAATTTCAGTTATGCAATGTATTAATGTTTTTGTGTTATTACTCTAATTCTGCCAAAATTTATTAAAAATTTATAACCAAATTCTGTCCAAATTATATCCCAATTTTGCCAAAATTTTATACTCTAATTTTGCCCAAAAAATTATATTTGAACTCTTCCTAAATTTATATTCTAATTTTGCCTCATATTCAAATTTATATTCAAATTCTGCCAATTTATTATCAAATTCTTTTTTTTTTAGGCGAGATCGCATCTCATTTGTACTTTATTATTGTTAATAATTTGGATACAACTGTTTATTTACAGGATACACTATTACTAATCTAACGTGTACTCAGAGACTAGGGCGTATAATCACTATCTATATCTGAAAACTACCTTATTCGATAGTCTAAAGTATCTCTAGTTTCACAATTTACCCCCGACCTAAATCCAGCATGGATGGTATATGACCATCAGCCTTTTTCAAATTAAGATTTGTGTACTCACTCACAATTAACCTTTTCCGCAGTTGCAAAGGCTTCCACTTGCAGTTGAAGTCATCTGACCTCTTAACTGCTTTTGCCCTTGTTTGGTTTGCTATTCTTGGACCCGGATACCCATCGATAATATGTCTTAGTAATATTATGAGAAGTAAAACAGCATGAAATAGTACCCATTGACATAATATTGTTATATGAAAAATATACTTGCCTTTTTTTCTAGAATTAACATTTTTGCTTTCTTAACTTTTGCATAATCATTATAGTGTTGGACAATTGAATGCAAACTCCTCACAAGCGCATCATTTGCTTTTTGATATTGAAGATTTTCTAGTTCATTTTTGAATGTTTTTATCCAAACTTTATGAAAACTTAAGATACTTCAATCATCAGCTTTATTAGTATCAAAATACTCATTCCACTTTCAATTGGTCTTAGTCATTTATAACTGTTATGATATTAAAAGTAATAAAAGTGAGTTTTGTTTTGATTTTCAAATTGGTCATATGAAGTCTTATTTGCTAATTTCTGTAGATTATTTGATGACGTGCAAACTCTGATTGGCTAAAGTAATATTTTGCCCTTTATATTCGAATTCTGCCCAAATTAAATCTTAATTCTGCCAAAATCTATACTCTAATTTTGCTCAAATCTATATTTTTCTAAATTTACCCAAATTTATATTTGAATTTTGCCAAACTTAATTCAGACAGAATTAGAGAATAAATTTGAGCAGAATTAAAATATAAATTTGGGCAGAATAAGAATATAAATTTGGGCAAAATTAAGGTAAAATTAGAGTTTATTTGAGCAATAAATTGTCAGAATTTGAATATAAATTTGAATATGAGGCAGAATTAGAATATAAATTTAGGAAGAGTTCAAATATAATTTTTCAGGCAAAATTAGAGCATAAAATTTTGGCAGAATTGGGATATAATTTGGACAGAATTCGGTTATAAATTTTTGATAAATTTTTGCAGAATTAGAGTAACAACACAAAAACATTAACGTTAATACATTGCATAACTAAAATTATCGGTATATGATATTATTTTATATCTAAAAATACGTAGAGTCAATAAAAACCAAGCAAATATATTTTTTTAAGTTTTTTAAAAACTTAAACAAGGATAATTTAACCACTTGCTTTATTTTTGTGTCAATTTTTAAATAATATTTAAATATTATATATTCTGTAGTCAATTTTATTAATATCAAACTTTCGAAAGTAGATACTGTATCTGCATTACTTTAACAAGCAAGTTAAAGGAAATCTAAATTTAAAAATATTATTCAACTTTAAGGCAAATGAAAACTGTAAGAGAAAAAATGACAAATTCAGCAGCAGTTAGAAAATGAAAAGCGACAGTTATTTATTTATTTTAAAAGGTTATGCAAAGTTCCACATAAACAACATGCAAATAAAATATCAAAACATTCAAAGAATAAATTTTGCCCTTGTATTTTCTCTTTGTACTGTAATACTTGCATTTTTTATATATATACTATAATAGGAAAAAGTGGGAACTACTTACGAATGATTTATTGGATAAATTAAGATATTAATCTTGTATATTTCGAATAATATATCACAAATATTCGAATTAATTTTAATTATATAGATGTAAGCAGTTGTCAACTCGTTTGATTTAATAATAAATTTATCTACGCTGATGTCTTTCTCGTTCTTTAATAGGTAGTTGTTGTTCATAATCTGATTGGCTATGACTATTGGCCAATCAAATTAGTTGGTTGATGACGTCTAATCTCAAATAAATTTCTAGGTATAATTTTATGACGTTTGATAATTTCATCATTTGTGGTATTATTCCATCCGTATACAAGATAATTATTGTTAATATTCTTTTTATTTTTACTTATGATTCTGAATGTTCTATTAAAATCTAATTCATTAAGGTTTCTAATGTCACAATTATGAATGGTAAAATTCAGACTTCTATGTCTCACATAGTTTTCATAGTTTAGAAACATTTCCTTGGTAATTGTACAATTTAAAAAGAATATATTTTTTATAGGTATTTGTAATCTTTCTAATACCCTTAGATCGATATCTGTATCAACCTTGAAAAAGACGACATGTTCAAGTCGCAAAAAAAGATCTAATGTTATTGCAATTTGTTCATGTAAGTGTACAGTATCATAACCATCATATTTGTTGTTTATTCTTTCATATATTAATAAATCTTTAATTGATGTTTTAGTGTGGGGAGTGTTAAGGTAAAGATAACGACTTTCTTCAGCAAGATTAAGTTGTAATACTTTTGCAGCAACTTCACAGTTAAATTGCATGATTTATTTTGATTTTAGATATGATAAATTAATCAGGTTTATATATAAAACAAGTATGTATATCTATGTTTGATATATTTTATTATTGTTTGTTTCTTGTAGCTAGTTGTTTTTCAATATTGATTCATTGATAGTATAGACTTTAGGTTCGATTAATTAAATTGAAGTTGAGCAGTTATTATGTTGCGCAATATAATCTTTAGGTTCGATTGATTAAATTGAAAATGATGTATTATTGAAATTAACATTCAATTTATTATAATTTAATATTACAATTACCAGAGAATTAGAGTTGCGAACTATAAACTATTAGTTATAATAAATTTTAAAACTATTGCTTTCGAGCCTCTAAATATTCACGATATGCTTGAGCTGAGTTAGGCATCAAAAAATTTTTAAAAAAATTATAATTTTAATAGAAAAACGGATAACGGGTCACATCGATAATTCAAGTCATTTTTATTGCATGAAAAAACAAATTAGACATTTTTTATTTTTTACAGAATGAATTGACAATATAATTAATTCTTTATTAAAAAATAACAATTATGTAAATAATCCTGATCACAATATCAAGATCACGGAATAGGATTCTGCTCGCTCTGAAAATATCTTTTTGTATTGTATTTAGTTTTAAAAAATGATTAAAGTCACGTTTATCTTATGGAGACAATACAAAAAAATATTTTTATGCACCGCAGAATTCTGGACACCCTAAGTCCGGGTCTTGGATTCGGTCTTAAAAATAATTTTAAATGAATTTTCGTGTCTCAATTCAATAATCAAACCTACCATGATAATTGAATCAAATTCTTTCAAAAATTTATACTTTTCAGTTCCTCGCATTATCATTTCATCTTTATCTTTCCACTTAAAAATATATTTATCATTATTTTCATTTATTTATTTTTTATATATAAAAATGATTAATTAATACATTGCATAACTGAATGAAAATATGTATATTTGATATTAATCGAAAAGTCTTCTCAATATTTCAAGTTTTATATAAAAATTCACTGAATATACTATAACGAGACTGACTTGTGTAAAATTTTTATCTTAAAGTTCATTTTGTGAAATTTTTTTACTATTTAATTAGTTTTTAATTGAAAAAAAATTGAAAATTGCTATTTACACTTGTTCATGTCTTTTTTTATTATTACAATATTCTAAAAGTTTTCTTTCACTCTCAATTCACGAATAACAAAATTTATCATCTTTGAACTTTTTTTTTCCACAAAAGCACAAATCAAAATCGCTTTTACAATTTAATTTACTTTTTCTGTATAAATAAGATGACATTCCCTCCCATCTTCTATCAGGTAATTTGATTAAAAAATAATCAAAAACTTCTAAAATTTTTTTATTATATCGTTTCGGATACACTCCTCTAGTATAATACGAATATATATGATAGAAAATATAAGGTTAATTTCATAATCACTTTCATTTATATAATCTTTACACTCTATGAAATGAATAAATTCACTGTGAATAAAATCAAAAATTAATTAAATAGTATAACTTACATACCATTCTTCAAATTATTAAAATTCATCAAACTATAAAGATAAGTTTCTGGATATTTCTTTATATAATCTTTATGAATATAAAATTTTGAATCTTTAGCATTAATGGTTATAAAATAAGGCTGCATTTTTAATTTTATGTTTGAATTTTAAATATTGCAAAAATATGTAGCAAGTAAAGTTACTTGCTTCGTAAATTTTATCTTATATAGTTTCATAATTGTAAAAATTTCGTCAACTACTATATGCAATTTTCATTTGATATATCAAGGTAAATATAATTATATTATTAAAATAAACTATTAGTTTTAAAATAAACTATTAGTTTATTATTATAATTAATAGTTCGCACCTCTAATTCTTTGGTAATTGTAATAAATTGAATGTTAATTTCAATAATACATCACGCTCATAACGCTCATTTTCAATTTAATCAATCGAACCTAATGATTATATTGCGCAACATAATAACTGCTCAACTTCAATTTAATTAATCGAACCTGAAGTCTATACTATCAATATTAAAAAACAACTAGCTCCAAGAAATAAACAATAATAAAATATATCAAACATTGATTATATAAACCTGATTAATTTATCATATCTAAATCAAAATAAATCATGCAATTTAACTGTGAAGTTGCTGCAAAAGTATTACAACTTAATCTTGCTGAAGAAAGTCATTATCTTTACCTTAACACTCCCCACACTAAAAAATTAATTAAAGATTAATATATGAAAGAATACACAATAAAGAAGATAGTTATGATACTGTACACTTACATAAACAAATTGCAATAACATTAGATCTTTTTTTGTGACTTAAACATGTCGTCTTTTTCAATGTTGATACAGATATCGATCTAAGGGTATTCGAAAGATTATCTATAAAAAATATATTCTTTTTAAATTGTACAATTACCAAGGAAAGGTTTCTAAACTACGAAAACTATGTGCAATGTAAAAGTCTGAATTTTACCATTCATAAATGTGTCATTAGAAACCATAATGAATTAGATTTTAATAGAACATTCAGAATTATACGTAATAACCAGAATATTAACAATAATATATTATCATCTCATGTATACGGATGGAATAATATCACAGATACTAAAATTATTAATCAACATAAAATTATATCTAATGAGATTAGAGGATGATAACTGAATATATTGTATTGAATAGTTTCAGAAGCTCGGAAACAAAATTAGTCATCAACTAACTAATTTGATTGGCCAATGGCTATTTAATTAGCATAATAATAATTACCATTAAGAATATGATAACGATAACGATAATGAATAAAAGATGGATATATGCAAGAACCTCCCAATTAATGAATTCTGATTTAGACCCAAATTAAATTTAATTTGGGCCAAAAACAACTGACAGGTCACCCATATGCGACCAGAATTATACTTCATTATAAGCCATAATACAAATGATTTGAATTCTTTTGTTTATTATAGAAATTAAGTTAATATAAGGGAAGTGTCATTAATCACCTGATTTTTTTTTATCAGAGGGGTACCCCCCCCCCTCTTTTTTAATATATAC